CGTTTCCAAGAACCTATTGAGGACATTAAGGATTTACTGTCCTGAAAACAACTCTATGCCCATAATCCAACAACTTAGATAAAACAGACCAATTCTTAAAATACACAAGCTACCTAAACTCGCTAAAAAAAAAAAAAAACAAACAGACAAAACCATATAGTTCTACAACTATTAAAGAAATTGAATTTGTAGTTATAAACTTTTCAATTAAGAAAACACCCTGCCCGTATTTTTTTCTGCAATATTCTAGAAAACATTTAAGGAAGAAACAATAACAATTCTATACAACCTTTTTCTGAATTTATAAGAGAAGGAAACACTTCTCCATACAGCTTATGAAGCTAGCATTACCCTAATAACAAAACCCAATAACAACAGTATAATGAAAGAAAAATAAAGACCAGGCCAGGTGCGGTGACTCACCCCTATAATCCCAGCACTTTGGGAGGCTGAGGCGGGCAGATCACTTGAGGTCCAGAGTTTGAGACAAGCCTGGCCAAGAAGGTGAAACCCTTTCTCTTCTAAAACTACAAAAATTAGCTGGGTGTGGTGGTGCATGCTTGTAGTCCAAGCTACTTGGGAGGATGAGGCCCAAGAATTGCTTGAGCCTAGGAGGTAGAGGTTGCAGTAAGTTGAGATCATACCACTGCACACCAGCCTGGGTGACAGAGTGAGACTCTGTTTCCAAAAAAAAAAAAAAGAAAAAGAAAAAGAAAAATACCAATATTGCCCACAAACATAGACACAAAAATACTCAACATATTATTAGTAAATTGGGTCTAGAAATATATAAAAAGGGAAAATACAGAATGATTAAGTGGGATTTATCCAAAGAATGCAAGATTGTTTCAATTTGGGAAAAGTCAACCAATATAATTTACCAGATTACCAAACTAAAGAAAAAAAGCATGATTATCTAAATGGCATTTGACAAATTCAAATTTCTTTCCAACAAAAACTCTCAGCAGACTAGAAATGAAAGGAAATTGCCTGGATATGATTAAGGACAACTATAAAAACCTGTGACTAACATCATACTTGATGGGAACAAGATAAGGACATCCTTCTTTCACCACTGCTATTCAATATCATAGTAAAAGTTTTAGCCAGTGCAACGAGGCAAGAAAAAGTCACTCCAATCAAAAGGGGAAAGAAAAAACTCTATTTGCAGGTGACAGAATTGTTTATGTAAAAAAATCCCAAATAACATATAAAAAAATCTCTAAAGCTAGTCCTAAAACTAGTAAGGGAGTTTAGCAAGGTCATAGGATAAGAGATCAAAATACAAAAGTCAATTATATCTCTATATACTAGCAACAAACAATGGATTTGAAATTTTTAAAAAACTATTAACAAAAGGTAGAAAACTTAAATACAAATCTAACAAAATACATAGTATCTATATGTTGAAAACTGTAAGACACTAATTAAAGAAATCAAAGAAGACCTTAGACATGTGGAGAGAGATGTTATCTTGGTTTGGGTGAAAAATTATATGGTCACACTATCTACACGGGTAATAAAAGATACTTTTATTGATTTGTGTATATTCCCAGTGCTTATTTATGCAAATATAAAATTCTTATCCCCCCTGGTGTTACACAGTACCTCACTTGTTCAACTTAAAATATGTCCTATAGAATTTTCCATAAGTATATAGGAATTTTCCTCATAAAAATGTTTTATCATGAAAATAATTTTAGACATACAGAAAATTTATAAGAATGGCATAGCAAATACTCACATACCACCACCTGGATTTCGTTATTTTCTCTGATAAACGTGGTATTTGATTGTGTGAAGTTAATTCATATATTTCTCATTGCATAGTTAGATGCTGTAAATTCTGTCTTACCCCACTGCTATCAGATGGGGTGGACAATGGTAGGGGATGGAGTCTAACCAAAATGCATAGGCTTTGAAGCGAGACACAGCCAACTCCAAACACCCATTCTGTCACTTATTGGCTGTATGGCCTTTAGGCAAGTTGCTTAACTTTCCCCCGTGTCAGTTATTTCATCAGTAAAATGAGAATATAACTACTACACCAAAGGTTACAGTCAGAATCAAGTGTGGTGATATGATAAAGTACCAAAGAGTACTTTAATATTAGGAAATGTAAAATAAAGCTGCAGCAGCATCATCATAGCCTTGACCTTATTCATAAGTTTGGTTAACGGAACAAGGTGAAAATCTACCTGACTATAAAATTTAGTTGGTGGAGCTAAGTGACAGAGACCTTATAAGAAACACTGTTACCCTTGGCCAATTCAATTAACAGAATTATCTTCTCAGCCTTGGGCTGATTCACCAGTTCATTAAAAAGTCAAAGACGCTTTCAATCCTAATCTCTATACCCAGAGCCAGTACTTTACCAAAATATCTGAATTGCCCACACAAGGCGAGGAACCAGTTAGTGAATTTGCCATTCTTATTTCTTTATTGTACCAACAAGGTATGAAAACTTTGGGTGTTTTGTTTGCATTTATTTGTCCACGGAATACATTTCCAACTCCAAGGTGAAGCAGTTGCAGGTAACTTTACTGCCATTCGTGTAACTCCAATGTCAAATCATCAGCAGCATATATTCTATTTGGAGGCCTTTTCCTGGCTTACAAGTAGAGAGTGAAACACAGCCTCTATTAGTAGAGCCGTTCAAAATGTATTCATTCACTCACCTAACAAAAACTTTCCAAACCCCTAATGTGTGCCGGGCATTGTACTTGGTGTTGAAAATAAACAACAAAAATTCCTGTCCTTAAGTAGCTTACAGCTCAAATAAGGGGAAATAAGATTCATTGACAATTATGAAGTGCTTTGGGAGAGAATAGAATGGCTTCACAGAAGAGGCTGTTTCTGTTGAGCTAGTGAGACTGACAAGAGGAAGGCCATTCCCAGCAGAGTGAGCATAACCTGCAAGCACAAAGACATTCTATGCTAGCAGGCTTGAATTCAGAGTTCCACTGGGGCACTAGGTGCAGAGGAGCCTGGAGGGTTCAGCTGAAGCTATTACCAGTTTGATCTTCATCCTGCTCAACGGAAAACTTTTAATTCAATGGGGGAACCATTAAATGCTTTTAAACAAAGGCCTGAGATAATGAGATTTACTTTTGTAAAAGATCTGGTAGCCATATGAAGGATACTTTGGAAGGAGTAATAGCAAAACCAGTTAGGAGGCTATTGTAGTGAAAGAGAAAGTGATCCTCACGAAATATCTAGGATTTCCATGAATGAAATGATCTGCTTTGATAAACGGGGTAATGTCTGAGAACTATTTATCAACTGAAAATCAAGAGGGAAATCAGCAAGAAAATCGGTATGTTCAGCACTATTTCAATCAAAATCCTAGCAGAATTTTTGTAGGTATCAACAAGTTGATTCAAAACATTTGGGAGAAAGGTAAAGGAACTAGAAAGTTAAAGCAACAGCCAAAACAAATTTGAAAAAGGACAAAGTTGGAAGACTATACTCCCTGGTTTCAAGTTTATTGAAGACTTCGGGTCCTTTTCTCTAACTTTGTAATTGCTTAAGTTCTTATACAGTTTGCCAGATGGTGAATAGGGGAAAACAAATGAAAAACACGAATTTAATCAGTTTGGTTCCCTGACTGCTTCTTAATATGCAGATTTGAGGAGAAGGTGAAAACTCTCATTACACAGAAACACGTGGATACACGTATCACCCATTTCTTAATTCCACTGATAAACCAGAGGTCATTGTAAGATAAAACATACATAATAAAAATAATTGGCTCTTTGCACTGACGCTTTAAAAACACATTTTCATTTCCTATTAAAAGCTTTATTTTTGTTCCCTTTCCCTGAATAATGTATGCAGTGCTCATTTCTCCTTCACCGGATCGGCTCAAAGCTTGATGAATATGGCTGTGGTTTGATGGGCAGTCTCTCCATCTCACGTTGAGGCTTGGCTATGAAAAGAATTAGAATAGCAAGATCAAGTGTCAGGCTAAGTAAATGAGGTCTCATCTCGGATCTGATTGCTTATATGAGAGGGCTGAAGTGATTCTTGGCCGCACTCTCAGGGAGAAGAGAGAAATGCATTTTAATTGCCCTGGCAGGGATAACAGGTGTTCTTCCAGCTACCAAAACGCAAAGCTGCATTGTCTTTGCACTATAGAAGTCTTTCCCTTAAGTGAGAATACATATTCTTAAAGCAAAACAACTCAGAAACGCTGGCGTGGTGATGCACACCTGTAATCCCAGGACTTTGGGAGGACGAGGTTGGCGGATGGCTTGAGCCCAGGAGTTTCAGACCAGCCTGAGCAATATGGTGATAACCCCGCTTCCATGAAAAAATACAAAAATTAGCCAGACGTGGTGGCCCGCGCCTGTGGTCCCAGCTATGGGGGAGGCTGAGATTGCAGGATCGCTTGAGCTCGGGAGGTCGAGGCTGCAGTGAGCAGAAATCGCACCACTGTAATCCACCCTGGGCCACAGAGGAAGACCCTATCTCAAAAAAGCAAACCACCAAAAAAACCAGGGACAGTTCAATGCTCTTTTTCGTTTCATAGCTACTTAACACTCAAATTTACAAATACCTATTAACTTGTCGACAGGGCAAGAAATAATTTATGCTGAAGAGACGAAAGACCAGAAAGCACATTTCTGTGTTTTACTCTCCATGCGGCCATCATGGGCGAGGACGAAGAGGGACATGATTTTTCCTTTAACAAGAAGAATGCTTAAGCTCTGAATTTTTAACTAATTTTTATGCTCGTTACTCTGCTGTAGGGTATGTATTTACCAAGATTAGCAGAACACCGTGAGTTCACCAGGCAGAGACAAGTCACTGTGAAGTAGATAGCACAGGACCTCCCGGAGGGCAGCGGCCAGAAACTACATATCCCGGCGTGCCCCGCTCGAGAGCACAATGGAGCCTGTCGTCATTCGGTTCACGACGCTACGCATTCCCTGAGCGCCGCCGGATGCCGGCCTGGGTCCCGCCCAGGGCGGAGGGCCCTCCTGGGCCGGGAAAACTACAGTTCCCGACATGCCCTGCCACGGGTGCGCCTGCGTACCGGAGCTACTGCGCCGGGGAGCGGGTTGGTTTAAAACGCTGTGTTAGTTTCAAGGAAACCCGCCAGCCTGTAGCAGTACGCAGCCTCAGGCGGACAGATGGACTGTAGGGTGAGGCTGCCGGGCCCTGGGCGGGTGAGCTGTGGTCGGAGGCTCGTTGGGGAGAGGCGTCGGCTCAGATAAGGACAGTCACCACTCCCTGGCGCCCTCTCCCTGTCCTAACGGAGTCCAGTCTCACTCCCTGGACCTCAGGGCCCTGATTTAAGGCGCTTCGGCGTTGGCTGCTGATGAAAGCCATTTAGGAGTGAAGTTTGCATTGGCCTGGCTCCAGCTGAGGGATGGGAGATAGTCGCCGAAGCCTCCAGATAAGCCCAATACCACCTTTATTTATGTGTTAAGTTGGAGGTTAATAGGTTCCTGGGAAGGCTATTTCGGCGTTAATGTTTGATTTTTACCCCCAGTTAATCCTGCCTGGCTTGCTTACCAGAATATAGGTGTCAGGAATTTGCACTTGTTCTTTACGGCTTCTGCAGTACCTGGCGCTTTTGCTAGAACGGAATAGACATTCGTTAAGTTCCTGTCGAAGTAGTCTCCTGTTTATTTACCACCCATAATTTCCCAGGCACTGTACTGGGCTCTAAAGATAGAAAAGTGTCTATTTTGACCCCACTTTAGGGAAGTTCTATTAGTCTGCCCTAAATGCCCGCACACACGTGCTTCTAATTTGTTAATCTTGGCGTGCTCAGGACTAGGTCTTTTAATCCTTTCTGTTCTCTGTTACCCCGCCTTATGGTTTTCTTGAGCTCTTCAGAAACTAATCTCCAGTCCACACCTCATCCCCAAACTTTAGATCCACAAATTCAATAATGTATCTTTCATGTTTTAAATTTGACATTTTAAAAACTACTATCTTTTCCACAAAACGGATTCTTCCTTAATAAGTTTCCGTAGTCTCAGTGATAGCACCATCCAGGCCAAAAACCTTGGAGTAATCTTGGCTTTTTCCTTTCCCTCATATCTCATATCTAATGCATCAGCAAAAGCTGTCTTTCAAGTATATCTAGCTACTAACCTCTCTTACAGTAAGAATACCACTGCTGTCACCTTGGTTCTGACCAGCAGCATCTCTACTTCTGCTCTTGTTCTTCCACCATTTCGAGTGGGAGGGAGTCAAAGTGATCCAGTTAAAAGGAAAATCAGATAGCATTCCTCAGCTATAGACCCCCAGTGGCTCTGAGAATCACTGACAGCAAAAGCCAGACTTTTACATTGGCCTTCAAGGCCCTGTGTATTCTGATTTATTTATTTATTTTTTCTTTGAGACAGTCTCGTTCAGTCGCCCAGGCTGGAGTGCAGTGGCGCGATCTCAGCTCGCTGCAAGCTCCCCCTCCTGGGTTCACGCCATTCTTCTGCTTCAGCCTCCTGAGTAGCTGGGAGTAGCTACAGGCGCATGCCATCACGCCTGGCTATTTTTTTTTTTTTTTTTTTTTTT